GAAAAACTACCACATCACTTCAAAACCAAGCAACAGACTTTGGTAATCCAAGACCCCCCAGGCCAAATTTTTGACCCCATCCCCACCAAAAAAAAACTGTAAGATTTTTGATTTTTTTTTGGGTTTCCGACCAAGTTTTTGACTTTTTTTTTGATTTTTTTTTGACTTTTTTTGACTTTTTTTTGACTTTTTTTTCAACTTTTTTGACTTTTTTTTTCAACTTTTTGGACTGTTTTTTTGGACTTTTTGGCCAATTTTTTTGGACTTTTTGGGTGATTTGTTTTGACTTTTTGACCAATTTTTTTGACTTTTTACTGACTTTTTTTTGACTTTTTTTTGGGTTTTTTTGGGTTTCTGACCAAGTTTTTGACTTTTTTTTATTTTTTTTTGACTTTTTTTGACTTTTTTTTGCCTTTTTTTTGCCTTTTTTTTGACTTTTTTTTGACTTTTTTTTTGACTTTTTGGACTTTTTTTCAACTTTTTGGACCGTTTTTTTGGACTTCTTGCCAATTTCTTTGGACTTGTTGGGTGATTTTTTTTTGACTTTTTACTGACTTTTTTTTGAATTTTTGGCCAACACAGATCATGTCATTTAAAGGCTTTGCACATCAGGAGGATCCCAACCCTCTGACCAATCAACAAAAAACCAGCTATTTAGCTATCTGATCAGTACTATGGTCTTGCAAGCCAGTCTGGGCACAGGCCCAAGTTGGGCAAAAAAGAGGCCAAGCGGGATTGGCCAATCCCAAACCCCGTGTGCCCCTCTAAACCCAACCCTTGCTTGGCACCTCCCAAAGTTGGAGGGGGTCAGGCCCAAGTCATGCTTGGCCAAGCCCAAGCAAGTGTGCCGCCCGCGCCAAAGCTGACCTCACCGATCCACACTTGAACGGGCCCCAAGTCTGCCACCCGCACTCTGGTGAGCCCAGAGCTTGGGTTCGGCCAAGCCAGACTTGGGCTAGTGCCAAGTTTCAGTCCCCGCACGACCTACCAAATCAAGCCCCCTGGGCACACACCCAAGCCCCATTGGCACTCAGCCACACAGGTCTTGGGCCTGTGTTCAGACTGGCTTGCAAGACCATACTTCCTGGTCACTGTTCCACAATCTTTTAGTGGGAATACCAGGTATACATAGCTACTTGACCCAGCAGGTTTGGACTTGTCATGACACTATTTAAAATGAGTGATTGATCCAAATCAAATTAATCACTTCATTCCTTCCCCCTAAAAAATGAATCATTTGCAATATAAATTTGAATCTGATTTATAATTCTGATTAAGGTGTACACTATTAGTGTGATAAACATATAATTGGCATCTGTTATTGATGAATTTAGAAAGAGAAATCACAAACTTGAATATGGCTGAATTTCTGTGATGTTCTAAATGTATTTCTACAGGGGCTACAAAAGCAAAAAAATAAGAGCTTCCCTTGATCTGATTGTGAATCAAATCTGTAACATTTGTTCCAAAAAACTGCTGAGGCCATGAAAATTGTATTCAATTAGCAGGTTTTATTTTTTTATTTGAATCAGCAGCCTTATCTTTGGGGGGAAACTAGGTGTAAGCAAAAGGGAATTTTAGAGGACATTCATTTTCTTTTCTGGGAAATTAGTAGTAAATTCTGGGTAAAATCTAGTGACTTTCTTGTGAGTCCCATTTTCTTTCATGATCCTTTTAGTGATTTTTACAAAAAAATTCAAATCTTCCAGGGTGACTTATTTGTGATTTGCAGTCACTGGAAAGCCAGTGCCCTGAAATTTCCCCTGGTGTAGAAATACACTTTCCTTTTAAAGGCACTTCCAAAGATTGCCATCCTGCCAACGTCTTTCCTGCATTGGCAAAACCAATGAAGCACAGGAATGAATTCTTTCCTTTGGGTTTAGAAAGCTCAGTGAGTGTCACTGTGGGATGATATAACCTGTCAAATTTTTTGAACAAGTTAAGTCACACCTGTCTCTTATAAGTTGTTTTAAGGGCCTGTACCACAGTCCTGATTTTCAGGTCAATTTCCAATTTCCAGGTTGGGAATTGACTTCACCAGAATTGGTGTACCATGCACACCCGATTTCCCACAGTACAGAAGCCATATTTTCAATGCCAACCCCAAAATGAATTTTGGTTGGTGAAAAAATAAAAATATCAGAAATGAAAATGAAAATTGGCTGGGGTGCTATGGTACAGGCCCTAAGTTGTTTTAAGATTTCTGCAGATTTTTGGCAGATTTTTTTTTCTTTTTCATTTCGCACTTTCAGGGACGCCTTTCGCCTTTCCAAATACTGGGAACTTCAAAGTTGGTGCGTTGGTGGGGGTTTTACAGATTTCGTAAGTCATCTTGGAGGTTTTGGACTTCGCCCCCTCCCCCGGCCCCGATCTCCTCTGGCCAGACTGGGATATTCCAGCGGGTGGTCCCCGAGCTTCGTACAAGCTCCTTTGAGTCCCCGAGACGCGTCCACCCAGATTTCCAACATTTCCCGTCCTGATATTCGGAAGTTCAGCAAGCACCACCTACCCTCTAGATCAAGCCAACATGCCTCCAACTGATCAAACGCGAGCCATTATCCATCGAATATTTAGCAAGGAACATTCGTTGATCCTCCGAGGCGATGGACTACGCTGGATTCAAGACATGCTGTCTCACTACCGCGTCGCGCCTGCCGATCTGGAAGACACACTCAACGTCTTGGCCAATGAGTGCGAGAGTTACGTTTCAGCACGGGGTTGGTATTTTTTCGCATATCTGTGATGTCAATTCAATCAATTTATCTGCATGGCGTGGTTCTGATTTTTTTTCTGCTTTGAGTATATCTTCCGCGATGCAGACATATCAACGGTTATCGATCAGAATTTACTCCAGAAGGTTTACGAAAAAATCTCGTCGATGACCGCAGCACAACCGCAAGAAGCCGTTGAAGATGCGGATCAAAGCGAAAGCAGCCATATTTTAGAGCTACAAACGTTGAAAGTAATCGATGCATTCTCTATTCCTCGATTGAGGTGGTCGGAGGAACGCAAGATGTTCGAGGAGCCAACTGCAGAAGGATCAAAACCATCCTTACTGGGTCAACCTATTAGCAAAATTTCTTACCTCAGAGATCGCTATCACACTATCCGACAAGTCATCTTTCGAAATGAGCATTTCTCACCTCCAGCTGTCGCCGGTGCCTTAGGCGAAGCAGAACGTGAGGAATACATGAAGGTGAGCCCAAGTGTTTCTTGGACTCAGTCATCAGATCTCGTTGCTCACGTGTTTTGATTATCTAGTTGACCAGCAGCAACAACCTCCTTGGTCGCGCAGGGCAGAGATTTTTGTTGTTTGGAAGGATAAGTCGCATGAAAGACCAATCTTATTGTCTTGAAGATTTGGAGGGTTGGGTGAAGCTGGACTTGTCAATTGCCGTGAGGATTTTTTTTTTGGACCGCCCTTATAACACAATGCACTAGTGCAGATAACATTCTAACCAGATCAAGAACTTCCTTTCAAATTTCCTTTTGGCCTGCAGTCGGCTGCTGAAGGGCTGTTCACTGAAGGCTGTTTGGTATTGGCGGAGGGAGAGTATCAATCCAATGAAACATTCAAGGTCCTGGAGATCGGACATCCTCCATCGGAACAACGAGGGGCCACAAGGTATGTTGCAATCATTCTTATAGATAGAAATCGGTGTGAAAAGATTTGAATTCAATTTGGGCCTTTTTACCTCTTTGTTTTCCAATGCTTCTGCATGGCTTTGCAGGAAACTGTTTGCAAATATTGATTTTTCTGGTGCCGGACCACTTTCCCTGGCTGAAGAAGCGCGTTTGAAAAAACGTGAGCAGAACAGCGATTCCCAATTTATAGTGTGAGAACTCATTTGAAGCTTCTTTCTGGCCTTATTGTGAGGGCACGTCTCCCGACAGCCACCGCAATATGTGCGTATTAACAATGAGACAGTGAAGAGTCAGCACTGAAGCCATAGCTGTACCCAACTAGAATGTCCGATTTCCACCTCGATAACCCAAACGTTCTAGGTAACTTCGAACAAATACTCCAAGGATACCAAGATGTTTTGATCGAGTCGAATAATGTCGTCCGTCCACCTGCCTTATGGATTCTTTGTGGCAACTTTTCCCAAAAGCCATTCATATTTGATGGGCCAAATATCAGCTTCTACCAAAGTAGGTAGCAATTCCCTTTCATTTCAATACACATCTGGTTACTAAGCGTGATGAGATTGACTTGCTTTCAGGTTTGTTTTCGAAGTTGGCAGTCAGCTTCTCCAAGTTCTCACTTGTCACTGAACATATACATCTTATCTTCGTTCCTGGGCCCAATGACCCATGGGACTCAACAATGCTTCCTCGCCAGGCCCTTCCAGCATCAATTGTCAAACCTTTATTGCACTCTACTAGCCAGATTCCTTCAGGCCATCTACATTTTGGTTCCAACCCTTGCCGAATCAGATGGATGTCTCAAGAAATAGTCATTTTCCGAGAGAACCTGGCTAGTAAAATGTGCCGGAATGTCATCGAGGCGCTCAAAGATCCCACAATAGCTGCTGATGAGGAAGACATAGATATAACTAAATTTGTCAGTAGATTACTCCTCTTACCGAAGTCAATGCAGTTCTAACCGTATGTCTCTTCGCATTTGATTAACCAGTTGGTCCAAACCATTCTAGATCAAGCCCATCTGTCGCCTTTTCCTATCACTGTCAGTCCGGTACTCTGGGAGCACGATCAAGCATTAAGGCTATATCCTATGCCTACAGCGGTAAGAGATGTTGTTTAATCTGAGGAGGTGTCGTAAAATCTGACACAACAATCCTTTGCGGGCCAATCTTGATGGGTCTCATTTCTCGCCTACACAGTTGGTGTTGGCAGATAGCTACCCCGCGTACACTCTCACATATGAGGGCTGCCATGTATTCAATCCCGGAAGTTTTGGTATAGGCTCTCGACCTGTATGGGCAAACTATCACGTCGCCACCCGGACTAGTGAACAGAGGTAAGCCTTATCCACCAAACACATTTAAACCTGTCTCAAATGTGTGTGAATTTTGCTGATTCGATGCATGTGACTCGAATATATGTAGTGAACTGTCTGTATGAAGAAGTCCCATGATTCACTTTTGTTAATGGCTGGGTTTGGATTTCAAAATGTAAATTATTGACTCGTCTCTATTGGAACACTTTGCCAAAATGATTGGGAAGGGATGTAAATATCACATGGCTAGATGCTTTATCACATCACCTTACATATTAAACAGCCATTTGAAACACCATTATCATGGTTGAAATTTAGTAAAATCAAATATCTAAACTTGAGAATACATCAGCTCTCTGACCAAATATGATTGCATTCATGGCATTACAACATTGATCCACTGCATGTTGTCATTTCATTCAGTTTGAAGCATTTGGGAGAGTGGGGAGCTTGATGGACCTAGATTTTTTTGCTTGAGATGCTCAACTTTTTGGCATTCTTTCTTAATTGGATGTTTTCATTGGCATACTAAAGCTTGTTGATGGAATGATCTATCTGCAAATGTGTGTATAATTTGGGGGCTTCATAGAATCTGAGAGGTTTCCAGAATTCCCCAAAACCAATGATTTTTGCCCAGAATTTGTGAATCTCACGGATTCAAAAATTGGCCTTGTCTGATGATGTAATGTGTGAATGCAACTATGCTAGATAACCAGACAATAGAACATTTTGAAACCACAAATATGGGCCTGTGAATCATGAAAACCATTCAGATAGAATCCTGAATACTGAAAGCACACTGATCAAACTTTTTTTACTAAGAATATCTCACTCTGATTCAATATTTTGAATCAAGAACTACTGTACAAAACTTGATATCTTGGGAGGTATCTGATTCAGAGTGGTAATACAGGAGTATGCAGCACAAAAGAAACAAATGGCCAGTTTGGAAAACAAAAATGCTGTGAAAGCAGCCAGGCAAAATCACAAGATAGTTTTCAAAGAGGACAGAAGTCCTTCCTGAAAAAAATGGAATTGAGTTCAAGGAGAGGATGGAATCCCACCTGTAGAAAGTATAGAAAAACTGGATGTTTTCCTTGTCAATGATACAAACTCAGTTGATTCAGGCCCATGACTGATCTGCACCATTTTGAATTTTTCAAGTTGGACTGTGGGATCAGTGCTGATTTTACATGGCCATGATAATTGGAGCTGATGGAAGGATAATATCCCATATTTAGGAAAGGGCTCCTGAGACTGCTAAAGCTTGAATAAAGCCTGCACACCTGGGGAAACACAGCTGATAAAAGTACAGGCTCTCAAACTTTCTCTGCCCGTCTGAAAAATCTCCAGGGGATTGGCGGAGACCTTCAACACCAACACTTCCCTTTTTGGGTACAACCAAAATGGGGATAGAGGCCATCTGACCAAGTCCATGTTATTCTGCAAGCTCTCACTGGTCTGGACCTTGAAAGGGTGCATAGGGCTCACAGGCCACTCTTTCTGAGTCAGAGGGACTTCACTCTGCTACACCTTTGGAGTCCGCATAGAATAAATAAGGCTTCTGGGTTGCTGGACCTCAGATTGATACAGAATCTATGTCAGAGAGTACTCAGCAAGGAACAAAGGAGAGACACTAGAGTTGTACAGAACACCGAATTGTTGTTGAGGAAAGTCAATCTCCAATCAACCCATTAGGGCTCCTCCTAAAATTCTCCCACTCCTTTCCACGTGTTATTTGGGTCAAGCAAAGGAATCAATGCTGGCTCTGGCTGATTCCATGACCAGAGAGACCCCACTCAGTCACTCAGTTTCCCCCTCAGTGTGGCTTAGCACTTGGTGTGCCCTACTCAAGGTGAACAGATTTGGTGGCTAGCCAAAGAACATTGACTCACACCTCTGGGTGCAGGTCCCAATACCCTTTGTAGACTAGGCTTGGCCCAGCAATGTAGACCCAGCGGTGGGCCGCTATGCTACGGGCCCATGTAGCGTTAGCGTGGCGGCGCCAACAACTTCTTTTTTTGTGTAGTGTTAGCGCGCCGCTACTGCCGCTGCACTACACTAATTTGTAGCGGCGCTAACACTAATTTGTAGCAGCACTAACACTAGCCATTTTTTAGTGTAGTGTTAGCGCGCCTGTGGCGCCGCTACGCTACAGCGTTTTTAGCGGCAAAAAACGCCTAAAAACCGCTAAAAATTGCTGTAACACAGCGTGGCGGGCAATTTTTTGCGGTTAGTGCAGATGGGGGGAATTGCGCTAACGCTACACTAAACATTAGCACAATTTTTTGCCCCATGCGCATAGTGTTAGTGCAGAAAATGAAAAAAGTGCTAACAAATTGTAGTGGTTTTTTGCTACACTACGCTACGGTTAGCGTAGCTGGCCCACTGTTGGTAGATCTGTACTGCTGCGGCAGCATAGTTGCCGTGCAGGGCAGTTCTGGTCCCAGCCCCCAACCCTCACACCATAGTCTTGGAACACCCCTCCTAATAAGAGGGCATTTGGGAAAACCTAGGTGGTCTTGAGAGCAGACCTCTCCAGACCACTGAACATGTAAATAATTAAGGTGCACTATTGCATTGGGATGAACCATCACCTAATCCCTTTTCTTCAGGCAAGATGATCTTGTTGATTTGTGTAATTAGGATTGGCTTGCTAGATTGATTTTACTAATATTTGGTTGGCTTATTATTAATTTCCTTTTAGGCTCAAGGGACTGATAAGACATAGATACATATTAGATAAGAAGGTCAGGTTTGTAAAATTCTATGATAGGTTTTCCATCTGTCATTACTAAGAATTGTTCTTATCAAGTTTCAATTATGATGTCTTTTGTGTTTTGTTTGTTGCATGATAGTGTTTGTTTATTGGTTAGAACATGTGTTTTGGTCTATGCTATAAATAGCTTTCCTTGTTTGTTTTGTTTGTTGATTTCTCTTCCTTCTTCATTGTGATATTAAGATTTTCAATTTGAAAGGGAAAGAAACACTATTATCATAAGAAAGACATAAGACTATTAGCAAGGCTCTTATTTACAAAGGTTCTACTCTGGTAAGCTTTTCCCCTCAGAGAAGCTTCATTCCCTAGAGCATACTTTAACCCCAGTACCTAGGACCCCACACCAGCCTCCCAAACCTAAGAATAAGATAGTCTGACTACCAAGTTTGGAGACTTGAGAGAGTCTGCGCAACCAACGCGGCGTCCCACACCGAGGAGCCCTGGCTTGTAAGCCCTCACGTCCTTAGGGGGAATAGATGCCAAGTTACTGGAAGGGTAACAGGAAGTGGAAAGTGTCCATGGATCCGACTAGACGTCACTTGGTCTTGTAGGGTAGGTCAAAATCAAACGCCGACGGATCTGCAGCTGCCAACTCTCCCCTTGCTTCTCTCACTTGCGGATAGTAGCCTGCATTCTCCATTGACCAGAACCCATGAAGCTGACTAGGTTTCTCCCTTCGTAACTTTTCGCCATCATATTCTGAAAGATTCAAACTTTGATTTGACTAAATGACGACTTGAGCTGAAGCTTCATTGGCCATTATTTTAAGCGGGATGTCGCCCTTCATATCGCTATTTGTCACCGAATGATCCTTGAATCAGATTTTGATGGGGGAAAAACTGGTTTCATTCCTTGACCAATCCTGTGGGACCGTTTCTATCACATAGAGCAATGTTACGGTAGCGAACATGACCACGCAGAAAGCTGGCAAATCAAATAACTGATCCACATTGATTGGCCATAATAATGCTGCTCTTTTACATACTCCCTTCAACCACAGCTTGGGCGGCAAAAGTGACATGTTGGGGTTGTCTCCAAAAGGGTATTGCTCGCTCCCGTCGCTTTTTGGATTTTTCCCGTGATTGGTCAGGAGTGTTTGTGTGCTCTGGAGTGATATTCGATTCTGGAGGATGAGGGATTTGCCGCTGATGCTGGCAGGCTGAGCAAGTGACATTGACTTTGTGTCGGTGAGAGCTTGAGCCTGATGCGTAAATCAAAATCAGTATAATGATACAAGGAACAAAAAGCGAGTGCAAAAATTCTGAGTAGCGGTGGGTTAGTTTTGAGGACTCAACGAAGGAGCCGTGTTGATGATGTGTATCCGGGTATGAGCAACAGATGACATGAGCGACAGATACTTCGTTTCACCGATGGGTCCCTGTCATGAGTGATAACATGGAATAAAATGCAATTCCAGCCCAGTCAGTTCTGCGTAGCAACCTGAGACTATGATTTACTTGAACACCTACATTCGAAGAACAGCCTTCTTGGAGATCACTTTCATTGTCTTGGACAGTGTTCGACTCAATCCGAGCATTGGTAGATTGGCTATAGGGCGACAGGGCTGAGGATTCCTTTTATTCTGTTTCTTTCGCCTCTTTGATTGGCTCCGTAGGTCCCTCTGATATTCTTCGTTTGAATCATTCTGTTTGACATCGTTTTGAGAAACTTGAACTCGGTCTGGTTCGCTCGGGTTGGCCGTTGTCGATGTCACGGTTGCTAGATAATTGGCCGCTTGATGTAAAAAGTTTAGCCGCTGTAAAACCTCGCTATGCCCAGATGCAATCGTCTGTGAGCAAAGCAGGCGACTATGTACCCGTAGGAGATCGTATCTCATGATGACTGATGACTCGAGTCATAATCAGCTTACCCGTTCTGTACGGCCTTCGGATTGGGGCCCTGGGCTGGACCTCGTTTGGATTTTTGAGTCATATCGGATTCTGAATCTGGGACCCAGGGCGATGTAGCAGATCAAAACGAACTGTCGGGACTCAGGATCTGTATACAACAGTCCGATAACGGTAAGCTACCTCATGTCGTGTCCCGGGTCTCCAAGCTCGGTTTGATTACTGATAAACATGACTAACCTGCATTCAACAGTCCGGTAACGGTTATGTAGCTACCTCACGTCGTGTCCCGGGTCTCCAATCTCGGTGAGGAAAGAGAGAAGAGGCCCGGGCGTGAGGTCACCGGAACTATGTCTGCCGGCCCCGATCTCCTCCGGGATATTCCCCGAGCTCCGCATGTATAGCCTTTACCGCGTCGCGCCTGCCGATTTGGAAGACACACTCAACGTCTTGGCCAATGAGTGCGACAGTTACGTTTCAGCACGGGGTTGCCATTTTTCGCATATCTGACATGTAAAATGCTGTCATTTTTTTATCTTGAAGCTGCTGGGAGGGGGCTTCATGCACCTAGTTTTTTTTTCCACTTGGAAAGCTCAACTTTTGGCATTCTTTCTTATTTTCTTATTTGGATGGTTTCATTGGCAGCATCATGCTAAATCTTGCTGATGCAATCATCCATGTGCACATTTCTTGTATACTTTGGGGACTTCATGAAATCTGAGATGTTTCCAAAATTACCCAAAACCAACAATTTTTAACGGTAATTTGTAAAATTCACAGATTCAAAAAAATTGGCCTTGTGTGATGATTGAATGCATGTATGATACTATGCTAGATAAAAACATGATAAAACATTCTGAAACCACAAATGGCCTTTGAATCATGAAAACCATTGAGATAGAATCCTGCATACTGAAAGCACACTGATCAAACTTTTTTTTCTTAAGAATATCTCACTCAATATTTTGAATCAAGAACTACTGTACAAAACTTGATATCTTGCGAGGTATCTGATTCAGAGTGGTAATACAAGAGTATGCAGCACGAAAGAAAGAAACAAAAAGCCAGTTTGGAGAACATAAATTCTGTGAAAGCAGCCAGGCGAAATCACAAAATAGTTTTCAAAGTAAAAGTCGAAGGGAACTTCAAGGAGAAGGTGGAAGCCCGACCCGTAAAAGTGAAGAAAAACTCGATGTTTCCCTCGTCAATGATACAAACTCAGTCGATTCAGGCCTATGACTGATCTGCGCCATTTTGACCTTTGCAAGTTGGACTGTGGAATCAGTGCTGAGTTTACAAGGCCATGATAATTGGAGCCAATGGAAGGGTAATATCCCATATTTAGGAAAGGGCTCCTGAGACTGCTCAAGCTTGAGTACCTATGACTATGAGGTAACGCTTCAAGATTGTAAAATTTAGTAGACAGCTCGTTCATGGAATAGCGGATAACTTTTCTACTCACTATAAGCAGCGTTTTCGTATCGAGAGTAGTCTCTTGAAATCCTGGGATCCGTTGAGCCATAGATAGAATTGCATCTGGGTGAAATATCCCTGCTCGATGGACGTATTTCGTAGAGGCTTGTAGTATTGGGCCACGAATTGTAAGAACTGGCAGCCAAATTACATCTGTTCGGGCTTCTATTCACAGTGAATTTCTGTCCCTCATAGCCATCTGTTTATCATTTCCATTAGTTTGCGATTAAAATATACTAACTGAATGCTTTCAAAGTCTACTCAACGAATGGGGCACGACTGATTCGAGTTTCGATAAGCGTTAGTCCCATTTGACCCCAGCCTTTTTTCCAAGGTGCTAGGGACTATGCCACGGGGAGTGGCAGACTCCAGGATGGGGGCCCAAGTTACGTGACGCTCTTTCACAGGATGGCGATGGTAACTGCTGGCATCCTGAGCGCAATTGATTTTAAGGTCGGTGTCGGAGATCATCAGTATACTTTGATCAAATCAATCTATGTAGGCCCAAAAATCAAACGAAAACTTACCCTCTCATTGGCTCTAGATGATTGTGAGCAACGCCTATCATATCGTGACTGAAACCCTATGTGGTGGCGAAAAAATTGACACTGCAGTTAGCTCACAGTTATTTGAGGAAATTCTTCAAACTAGATAGATTTATCCACCCTGGTCATAGTCAAGCGGATCCTGGTAATCAAATGAGCTCGGGCGATAAAAGCTGTCGCAAGCCCCGGAAGAATAAGAATTGAGATTGCGGCTGAGGAGGTCATCCGTTGACTGAGAGCGCAAAAGCCGGCTTCGGGACATGATCTTCAAAGGGTAAATAGCCAAAGGTCAACCCGCTATATCAAATGTAATAAGCTCTGTTGAGAAGTCGTGGCCTGCACGAGTAGTGAAAGGGATTTTTCAGGTAGCTACAAAGCCGTATCAAAGCAAGCACAGCTTGCGATTTTAAGTTTGCAAATGGAATTCCTTGCTCTAGTGAGTCGCAGGATTGGAAGGATGACTTGTGAAGGGTGGGAACTGTGGTGCTGAGAATATGTGGGGAATAACCTGGCCGGGCGCTCCGGCTGAGGATGGAGCTATTTATAGTCAGGCGGATCATGAATGGTCATAGACACCTCTCACAACTTTGATTACTGCTTCTTCGGTCTGGCGCCGAGGGCCAGCCCTCCAAAGCCCTCCATATCAGCTTGAAACACCTACCAGGCAGTAAAGATAGACCACCTCGTCATCATTCATGACGAGTCGCCAACTTTATAAGCAACGTTTCAGGAGCTGTAGAGGACCACGAGGACCGCTCCGGTGATCACAGCACCGGAACTGCGTCATTGATAGTAGCGCCCGACGTGCCGAATTTAGCACAGGATGACATAGATAACATCCCCTCTCCACGAGCTGATTCGGAGTTGTGATGTACCCTGTGTCTGCAGACAGGTATTTCGTAGTCCTGGAGTTCCCGGCCAAACGACTGTTGAAATGGAGTTCCAGGAGATACAGGAGATGACACATCCCGACAAAACAACTGGTGCAAACTCCTGCTTTCTTCAAAGTTTCAACCAGTGCATGTCTTTGCTTATTCATGTACTTATCACAAATGTGTCTCCCCATACATAATTTTAAGTTTATCCTGGCCAAAGGGCCATAAATTCATTGACCTAAAGTCTATGCCTGCCAAATGTTTTTATGTGTATCTAAGTAACTATGGCATGATTACCCTTGTCTGAAAAAGCTGTAAATATATAATTCAACTTCATTAATGTTGTGCCTTGGTGGGAAGGCGATTGTTAGAGAGTAAATTGATGACTTACTATTGTCATTTCCACGACTGCAGATGCCCCTCTAAGTCTCAATTGACACACTCATCAAAAACTCAATCCACACAAGAGAAATATGAGATAATTATGTTGAAAAAAAATATGAATGATATCTTTTCCCCCAAAAGTAAGATTTGATTTTAGGGTGCGTACATTCAATTCTTCTGGGACTGAAGAAGTAACAAAAGTCCTCCAATAGAGGACTTTGCACTAAGTTGGGAAGTAGAACTAGCAAGTCTTCTCCACTTTTCCTGCAAAACACTTATTCACCCTACATCATCCCAATCACCAAAGCCATTGGGATCATATTCAAATTGGACTAATCCTCATCAGTTTAAATATTGTCTGGAAATTGAAAGCATACTCGAGAATTTTTCTGCTTGAAACCATGCAATGAAGCAGCCTTTGAACTTCATAATTATACCCTGGATGTTTTCTAGACTTAATCAACTTCATTCCTCTATTTGTTTCTTCTGACTTCCAAATTTCCATTTTATCAATTTTATTTTTATTTTTAGCCGATGTCCACCACAAAGATTCTTTTTTTGGCAGCTCTCCTCTGTTTGAACTCAACCTCTCATAATCATATAGGTGGACTTGGGACCTGAATCACAAAGTTGTTCTCAGGAGCAGATAAATTCTTTGTTCAGTATTGAGAAGAAGGCATATTATCAGTTTCATTATTGCATAGTTGGGTTCTGCAGGTCATTTAACTCATGTTCACCCACGGGGACCTATAGTCTAGATTCACACACTAAAATTTCATTTGGGTTGAACTTTCATGATACAATGTGGGTAAATAGTATATGAATATATATTATTTCTAATGCAAAGTATAGATTTATAACAAAGGACCTAGTTATGGTTTGTTATAAAAAGTGACATGTATGATGTATGGTCACATGCTTAGCCACACAACAGGTCACCTGCTAGATCACATGTTTTTCACATGACCTCCCAGGAGAAATTCTGCAAAATAGAAACAAAATTCTGGAACACTAGAAGAATTATTATGCACTTGACCTGTATTTACAGCCATCTAAATTCATGGTAAAGTGGTTCCTCACAAAGTGTTTGCACTTTTTCAAAAAGTATATCAGGCAAATCTCATGTAATGAAGAAGGAAAAATAATTGTCTCTATGAACTTACATTTCCTGTCCTTGTTAAAATGTGCGTGTAGCAATTTGAATTCTTGCACCTAGGAGGGTTTGCTTCTTGGCATCTATAAAACCTTGAAGAAAGACCCAAATTGAAAGCTGAAAAATAAAAAAAGTGTTGAGTTTTCACCTCTTTTCCTACTCTTCCCAAAAATCACATCCTCTTTCTCATTATCTTTTTCCCCTTTTTCCTTCTTGAATCATCTTGACCTAGGCTGAACTATAGTCAATCATAGCTGTTTTTTGTGTTGATTCTTATGCTCTCTTTTAGTCTAATTAGAACTCATCATGGCAATTTTCATCAAACAACTCTAGTCTTATTGATTGATTTCTTTCTTTTTCTAGTTTACTATTTGATTCTTTAAAAACTGATTATTGAGAATTAATGCCTTTCAATATTTGTGGTCTAACTTATGTTTTCTCTGGATTAATCTTCTGGCATGACTAAAAGAGATTGAGAAGGCCTGTCACTTTGTTTCTTCCAAGAAATCATCAACTTATTTCCTCTCAGTTTTTATTCATAAACCAACCTTTATTCAATTCTCTTTCAACCACTTTTTGACCAATTGTATTTAGCCTATTTAAAAGATGACTAGATGCAAATGAATAAAAAACATTGGTTCTTCACACACTTTTTCCGTGAGCCCTTGCCAAAAAATAAGACTCTCTTTTTTTGGTCCTCAACCTCTTACGCGCTTGAGCTCAAAATTTCAACAAAATACTTGTCTTTGAATGGGTAATTTTGGTTGAATTTCATGTTTTCATCCACTGGTGAAAGTATGAGTAATGGTGAGATTACATTCATACTTCTGGTTTCACTGGTGAAAGTATGATTATTCTGGGGAAAAATTATGGAGATACTGATGTGCCCCTTGATCCACAAGTTGAGCCCCCCCCCCTCCCAAAAAAAAGAAATACTCAAACATGGACATGAATCAATACTTTGGCCAAGCAGCTGCCAAGTGTTCATGCCCCTGAACTGTCATGTCATAATGGCTAATTTTTAATAGGGATCTAATTATCACCAGTGAAAACCCATCTTCAAGGGATTCAGAAGAGCAATCAATCAGGATCAAATAAGCACACAAATATCAAGACTGTATATTCTAAGCAACTTCTCCCTTGTCTAGCTCAGTAGAGGACCTGGTCTGATTCCTTTCTACTGAGCTATGTGAGCTCCTCTCTTAATGCTTCTCTTGGAGTTTCCTTTCTATTTCTAGTTTATCTTTTCTGGCTGTCATTATTATACTTGCAAGAGACCCTGCAGTCTGATTCCTATCTACTGATCTAGCTCATTGAAAATGCACGTATACATTGGTTCCAGAAGTTCTCTCTAGACATATTGTCTGCTATCAATGGGCTTTTGTCCACTTATCTACAGAGCCTTAGTGAAGAGTCCACAAGACTCCTAATACACCGCCATCTTGGCCATCCTTGCCTATGCAGCACCGGTGTCAAACATGGTAACTACCGATCCATTGACCGAGCTATAACATTTTGGGCGGCCCAGCAGAGCCTTGGTTCTTTCACTTCTTGTAAAACAAATCACAATCTTGGTCTAGCTTCTCCACTAAACTTCTTCCTCACAATGAATGGCTGTTGGTGATGAAAGCCTTGCTACAAGGCTTACAGATTCCTCAATTGAGAATTTTGTGATCAAGAATGGTGACAGCTCTATGTTCAACTTGGCTCCCCTTTTGATGTAAGCTATCACATTTCTGACCCCTCCCAACATCTGGTACAATGGAATGATGCCTACAACAGAGCCGGCACAGGATCAGCTAAATAATCATGTCGCAAAATCATAGCTCGTGGTCAAATGATTTTACCAGGATGGTCTGATTCCTGATAATTGATCATAGGATTCTTTATGCAGGCAAGATACCTTGAAACGACTCCAGGCCATCGGCACCAAAGTCCGATCCCAGAGGCTGAGCGGGAAAGCGCGGGAGATGGATGTGAAGTTGGCGATGCACCTGGAATCAGTGCTGTGAGGAGGGATCCAGACGCTCACGGGGGGTGCACAGCTTAATCAGTCTACGAAGGTGCATGTTGGTGTAACAACTAACGTCACAGCAGCCCTAGACAAGCAAACGAGGATGATCCACAGAGCAAGCAACAAGGATCGGGCACGCTAATTATTTTTCTTTTGTAGAATAAAGAAGTCTTTTTGATTACGGCAAACTTGATGTTTAATGATAAAACAAAGATTTCGCCATGAGGAAAGAAACCTTCAAGGCGAGTACAAGTCTTTATATATTTTCAACTAGATACAACCGTGTTACAATCTTTACTTATTTGTTATCATTAGTTACTTACAGAATGGTAAAAATCTTTTTTCTCTTTTGATAATCGGCACCAAAGTCCGATCCCAGAGGCTGAGCGGGAAAGCGCGGGAGATAGAGCCTGCTGATTTTGTTGACTAGAGGTACTATATAAGCGGGGAAGCCTGCAGGAGATTGTTGTGTTGGCGATCCACCTGGACTCAGTGCTGTGAGCAGGGATCCAGACGCTGACGGGGGGTGCACAGCTTTAATCAGTCTACGAAGGTGCGTGTTGGGCGTGAGTGCTGCCACCTGATCGTGCTAGTGTGCGGTGTCCGATGGGGATGACGTGTTGGCGTGAAGCCCATGGAGATTTAATTGTATTTTTTCAGGGTGATCGGCTAAAAGGGCAGTGCAGCGATTTACTGAATCCGGAACACACTCCTTCCGCAACACCGCCCATTGTAAAAGGCTCTTTAATCTTATATCCACGAGACCTTGCTACCGCCAACCTTCGACTGAACCTCCACCACATTCTCGAGAAATTTATTTATCCTGTTTATTTAAATCCGCCAAACTGTCTCGCTCTTCAAGCTCCTCCAAGACGTCCCGACTCACCCTCATCCTCCTCTTCCTCAGCCTCACAACCATCATCATGACCCACCAATCCGAACAACACAAAACCCAAGAGGTCCCCAAAAATGACTTCCACACTTTACCAAGTAAGCAACCCCACCTAATTTTTAAAAGAGTTTATATCTGATCATCTGTTCCTTGATAATGATTCCGACCAGTCAAAGATGATAAGGACTCTGGAACTACTCCGTCCGTACTCGTCGGCAACCCAGGATTAAAAGATGGCGGAGTGGTCAGTTTGTCGAGCAGCGAGCAAAATGATGATCGAGGAGAGGTTCCAACTTGAGAGAGAGAGTCGGTCTGACTAATCTATCTGTCTTCCCTTCTTGACCGTCTTACAGGTGACCACTCAAGCCGGGCCGGTGATCCCTGACAGCCAATTGGCCGGCGTCCCCGTCAAGTCTTCCGCCGAACTCGACCAACAGGCCCAGGCTTTGAACAAGCCGAAACCGGCTAACCCTTGAACCGATCACATCGATCGTCACTTATCTTCGTCCATCCGATCATCCCCTCTAGGCGTTACCCTCTTTCCAACCGAGATCGTCTTGGAGATCTGGGCGCACTTTGTTTTATTACACAAAAAATCAAACCAAACCTTCCACAAAAACAAATAAATAAATTCAGTTGTATTTCTATAGTCGGCCTAGTCCCATGTATGCCTAAACGCACTTGAATCAGAATACATTGTACTTCAGATCCAACCGACGTATCATCGAACCGTACATCATGGTGAACAATATTAAAGATTTGATGGTCACTCAAGAAGTGTTTGTGGTGAAGGCGCACAACCAGTCTACCTCTTGACCATGTGAGCGATTTGGGCATATCCTCTCATGTCCAAAAAACCTGTTAACTGGGACCCAAAGATCATTAAAGAATGGTTGTGATGGTCTGAGCTCATCCGTCCAGATTCCCTCCCATGTTGGAGCTACAGAAGCCTGCAAAGAGATGCTCCGCTAAGCTCTCCGTCTCACATATCGGAGGGTCCTGCATTCCAGCCAGGCCGTCCCCCACAGATACATCTGGGTGTGTGCGCCTCTGTTTTGGTCGGCGAGCGCTGCCGAACGATCTCCTACAAAAGCATAGTTCTATACGCTTTAATCGAGACCTGGTACAACGAACTAATCTTGGTCAAACACACAGATCTATTTTATCTGAGACATCTCTAAACTCAAATTGAGTTATTCTGTTTTTGAAGGATTTCAACGAAAGAAAGCCGAGAGAGAAAACAACTTGATAATTGTAAACCAAACAGCGACTCAAATTGGATACATATAAATATGTAGGCTGTAGCCAGCACAACACGCACCAACACCACGGAGATTGTGATATCCCTCGTTCAAAGCACCTCGCCAGACTGCTTTCTCCATGGAACAGTCATAGGCCACACTTGCAAGAATGAGCCCGCAGAGAGTTGTTGCGCTTATCAAAAGAGGCCGATGTTGGCAGCATCTTCTTCGCTATGATATCCTACACACAATTCCCATCGACAGCGTTCGAAACGACGAGCAAAGACGCTGCTAAACAGAGCCTTCTCGCGATTATTGTAATCGCCCTCCTTCGGTGGACATGTGTGGTCTCCTAGTCGGTCTTGTTCTGCATGCGGCCATCATCAGTCTTCTAGCTTGGAAAGCTGGGAGCTATAACTGGAGAGAGATCTTGTCCTCGTCCCGTTCACGTCGCCTTTGTAGCACTATGATCCCCCTGATCACCTTCCATCATCTGCCGAGAAAACACCGCATCAAACCCGGAGGCCCATCGAATTCAGTCAGGCTCCAAATCATACTCAGTCAAATCCTCGTCCGCGTCCATGCGTCTTCAACCCCAGCATCATCATCATCATCATCATCATCTACTGGTTGGTCCTCTTTTTCCTTCTTCCATCCCCAGTTTTATCTGTTTTTATCTGTTTTTTTCCACATCTATTTTTTCTGGGGGGGGGGGGGGGGGAGGTCAAGAAAGCGGGATCAGAAGGATTTTGCCTTCTCGATCTGGTTGCCCTACTTACCAGGCGAAAGAAGACAATCAGTCATCCAGCGGCCGACAAGGTGCTCTCGATTATACTTCTTCCCTGCATAAAAGATGAGGCAGCTTACTTCACTGTTAAACAGACGGACCAACACTCTATATTGCTCTCCATTCCCAGTGTATACTTACATTATAAAGGAGAAAAGTGCCTAGTATATGATTTTGTGTCTTGTTGTTGGGGTCGGTCTTTCTTTTCAGTGTGAATAGTTGACAAAGCACTTCATCTCTCATTCCTTCCGCTCTCATTTTCCATATCTATGTTGACCAGTTTGCCGAACATGCTGGTCTCCCAGTTGTTTAAAGAGTCTTAAGAGAGAAGATCTTTCAAAGAGGCCCTTAGTTTGTTCTTTTGATCACACCATTTTGAAGCCAGGATGCTTGGCTACTTCCACTGCTTGGCGCTACCCCGCCAGATCACCATGTTTCCTGTACATAGTTGTGTGCCAAAGTCAAAATGACTCCCAAAGGCCACATTTTCTCAAAGTGCTCAAGCCAAAATCTTGACATTACTCATAAGCCATACTACGAAGAGTCCATTCGGGACAACAGGTCCACCAAGGATGGTGAGGTGAGGAAGCTTTTGCTATGTTCGGCCGAGTTTGGGTCGGACCCCGGGGCCTGTATCAGTATGACCCCTTCCAGTTGCAAGAGTTCCAAGTTCCCTCTCTCTTGTCCGAAGATTGTACGAATTTATGTGGATACAATACCAATGAAACATCGACTCATCAGAAGTATTTCTCTACGCGTAATTAGTTAATGCATGTACGCACGCGTCAAAACAGGGGGAAATGGGAAAGCAAATCTCTTACTTTGGTCGAATTGCTTGCGGCGGACGTGAATGAAACAGCCGGACTGTAATGAAACAGCCAGACTTGAGAGAACGGTTGAGAAGAAGGAGCGTGTATCATGAGCTTCAAAAACAGTATATAAGAGTGACGGCCGCTTCCTCTGCAACAGAACAACCAATCAACGTATTCTCTACTTGAGCCGTGTCTATAAAATACCCAAAACCAACAGCTCATACCCCCAACAACATCAGGCCTTCAACACCCAAGAATTCAAGAAGCTCATAAACACTGATCAAAGAAAATAAAGCAAAACTGCTGAACATCCTATAGTATTACAAGAATGCATTTTCGTAGCCTGCTTCGATCCTCATGTTTGATCTACTCAATCTTATTGTGTCTAAGACCCATAGTCTGTCCTACGATTACATACGAGCTCCAAGCCGACCCTTACAGATCCGGCGAAGCGATCACAACTCAAGAATGGCATGACTTACTCAAAACACAAGATTTTGGCCAGGTGGTTGAGCGCGACGAATTCCCCCCCGGCCGCGACGTCATACAAATCCGGCAGCCCAATCGCAACTCACCTCCGGCTCAAATCATCTCCCTCCATCCCGATTCCTCGCGTAAGCTGGATCAACAACAACAAGATCCCCTAACAAACCCTGCCAAAACGACGTCTTCTACCGCTCCATCTGACTCGGGTCAGTCCTGTTTACTTGTCATCCCCCCCCCCCCTTCTTTCATACCTCTATTTTGGGGTTTCCAGATTTCTGACTCCTTTCATCAATTATCACCAAACAAAAGGAAGGAAAACGTTTCTTAAAAAGGCGTTTTCTAGGCTCGGTTTCTCGGGAAGCACTCGACCAACAACCCCGACGAAGGATGTCGAGCAAAATCGACGGTGATCAAGAGTCCATGATCATCACGATGATCATCGTAATCCAAAGACCTCACAAAGTCATCTCGCATCTGATCCCCCCCAGAACTGTTAAAGACCATGCATATAATTCCTGTCCATCTCTAGAGTACAATTTCCTCATAACGGTCCTGATCATCTAATAATTTGGTTGTTATTTTTTTTGGGTCATGTAGTGTTTTTTTTTTGGGTGACCAGAGACATGAGTACATATAGTGGATAACAATTGACCAAAAAAGTTGAGATGACTCGCATGAGAGGCGCAACCAGAGTCCCAAAGCAACCCGACCCAACCCAACCATGAATGCCCGACATTCTGGCAACATGGTGAGACAAGCCAAGGCAATTGGTGTTCTGGCACTGAGGTGCAACCAAATACACACAGAAATGATCAACGTTAATTAACTGTTGAAAGTGGAATGGTCGCAATCGAGGTTTGGGCCTGGACAAACGAACAGACTAGCCGAGCGTGTTGTATTTGAGTATGACAATGAAATGTGCAAGTGGAGGACAACAACAGGAAGACAACAAATTAGGGGTCAAATGTAATGGAAATTAGCTGAGGCCGAGGAATACATAATGAGATCGCCAAAGTAGCCAAACAAGCTATTTACATATTTAGATTACAGTCACTGTCTAACCCATACATAACTCCTCTGACTTGATTTTTTTTTCCCCTTTGAAATGGGTGCATAAGAATGGGCAAAATGCCTAAAAACCTTGACTTGTTGACCCACACTCCCCCTTAATAATCCATAGAAAGACCATGTCCACCATTTGAAGGGGTATGGCTTAATAGGGAGTTGACTGTATGTATGTCAATGAGTGATAATCAGCAATCGAAAAGTTAAACTTACATGTCATTGTTACTTACCAACTACATCATTCATTAATCCACACACCCCCAAAACCCAGCCAATCAATATCCGGAGCATTCATCACAAACACAGACAAATGATCCTGTCCATAGTCCTTCTTCTTCTTTTTTTTCTTTTCTTTTCTTTTTTTGCAATGATTTCAAGCCAACATGATTATAATATTTTTTTTTTTCTTTGAGAATGTTAGTCATGAACATGAATGAATGATATGAATGAATGTGTACCAGGATACCAAAGGAGACTCAAAACGATATACACAAACCATAACAAAAAAATGATGGTAAAGAAGAAGAAGAGTTTCCAGGAATTCAAATCAAATCAAATCAAAAAAGAAAAAAAATTGTATGCAATGTTAAGTGTAGAAAAACAAAAGAAGATTCCAGAAAAAAAAGAAAAGGAAAGGAAAGGAAAGGAAAGGAGGATAGGATCTAAACAAGGGATGAAGAGGATATGCATGGATAAACTATTTATGCAGACATTTTTTTTTTGGGGGGGGGTGAGTTGAGTGGAATGAATGGGATGAAGGATCTATATTTGAAGACAAAATTAGAAAGAGAGAGAAAAAAAAACCATATATATCTGAGTAGGAAAGAAAAGAGGAAAAGCAAGAAAGTTAATGCAAATGAATGAATTCAAGCAAGAGACCCTGTGAGGATAAGAGATGGGAAAGGAAAGGGGGACGTGGTGTTGGGGGGGGGGGGTTCAAGATTAGTAGAATTCATGGAGATGGTGTGGTAATTTTCCGATCCGATTTCGTGTGAGATAACTGGGATCCCAGTTTTTTCTGCCAATAGATTCCATCCAAACGTGATGGAATAACGCTTGATTCATCAACACACCACCAGGCACCTTAAAAATAAAAAAAACAACAACAATCAACAAGAGCAAGTCAACAATATAAGTAAAAAAAAGGGAAGAAAAGAAGCAAAAAAAAGAGAGAGACGAACTTTTAGAGGATGGACTTTATCCTGAAACTTTTGGTAGCCTTCCCAAAGATTATAGAAGTCGAAGACGGGCAGCCCTTCTTCCTTAGCGACGAAGAGCTGCATCTGACGAATCTGATGTACACGATGATCGGGGAAGAAGTTCACGAATCCCTTTCCGAGGCCATGTTTGAGTCCGGCCTGCCAATCATGCGCGGCCCAGAACTGTTCGCCTATGCGATGGGTGGTCCGGATCCAGAGCGGGGTGTCTGGCCAGGTGTACTTGATCGTCCGGATCAACGACCGGAATCGGCCCTGCCACCAGTCTAGCTCTTCCGCCCCTAACGGTAACTCCGTCGTCTCGTTCCGTTGTCGGTTCCGTCGCCCAAAAAACGCTAGGTCCCAGAGCCCCGATTGGAGCATTATAAACGCCGGCCCTTCCCCGTCTTCTCGCCCATACGCTCCCGTCAACGGCTCGTATAACTCTCGCACTCTACTCTCCGCTAATCCGGGCCCATGCCAATCCGCTTGAACTGAAAATTCATCTATATCATCCTATCAAAAATCTCATCAAATTAGTCTCGAAAGTGGTCAAATTAAAAACAAATGATGGTGATTCACATACCAAGCCATAAAAGAACCCATTAAGAAGTTTACAATTCAAGCCGGCAAAATCTCGAGAATTATCGGGGTAGGAGGCATTACTATAGTTACGGGGATGAAGGATGCCGAGGTTGACTTCCCAGGGGGTCGATCTAGGGTCCCAATCGGAAGAGGGAGGGGGGTTATTGATGTCGAGGTAGTGGAGGGAGCGGACGTCTGCATGGACGAGTTGGTGGAGATGTTCGAGCGAGTTACGATCGACGGAGTCGCCGAGCAGAAGGATAGTTTTTCCGCGGAGGAAGGTGAGGTCGGGGTAGGGTCTACCCCAAAGGTCGAAAGCGGATCGATCGAAGAACTCAGTCTGTTGTGGTTCTTCTTGTTCTTTTGAGGAGGAGGTTGTATGGATGGGTCGATGGATGAGAGCGTCTCGTTGCGAGAGGGGCAGGTTGATCGGCACCTCGCGGATCGCCCGTAAGGCCGAGAGATAGTCCGGACTGGGCGCACAGCTCGGCCCAAACGGCACCCAGCTCGCGTCGTGGTAGAAGCTCGTGTTCAGGACCACCGTCCCGGGCTCGCCGAACGGATCGCATGCGGGCAAGCCCAGATATCCTTCCGAGAGACTCTTCCATGAGCTCGTGGATGGCGAGGAGCCCTTGGATGGGGAGAGTGTCCATGGGTAACGAAGTCTATATAGTCTTTATATGGGAAAAACCCGAGTTAGTTTAGGCTCTTCTTGTTGTTGTTTTGGGATTATAAGGAGAGGCTTACTGAGATTGAGTCCAATAGTCGATTAGGATGGTAAGGGTTGAGAGAGAGATGAGGATGAGGATAGCGATCTGGATCGAATGGGAGGGTTTCCTGGAGGTGGAGATGAATGAATTGAGATATGTGAATGGTTTTTTGATATACAGCGAGGGATGGGTGTTGTTGTTGTTGTTGTTTGATGATGATGAGAGTGAGAATGATTGGTAGGGATGGATTCGGTTTGAGGCTGAGGCTGAGGCTGAATTTGAAGTTGATGATGATGATGTTGAGCCTGGTTGGTATAGGTTGGCTTCGAATGAGTTGAGGTGGTTGTTGTTGGTTTGGTTGGTCATAGTTGTTGAGTGTGAAGTTTTTGAATTTTTTGAATTTTTTCAAGGGGAGTTTAATAATCCAAGGAGGAGTAAGCTGAAATATATCAGACTGTACAACAACAACCTGTTACCAACCAATCCAATTTATTACCTCCTTGAACACTCCAACTGGACCAACAATATCTTAACCATCTTTGACCGACAATCCAGGACAATCCTCAACAACTTGAGAATGAACTGCGTACCACAGAGTCCAGTGGATCTCGATGAGCTCATATATATTTATAATTGTGGATACAGGATCTCTGGGAGCTCTGATTTGCAGGAAATCGACCAATTGTGAGCTCAAGGATCATCATCTTCATATTACACATCACCAATTCAAGAACAACCTGCACAACCATTGCAGCAGTCTTGACTCTTGGTGATCATACACACAACATTACAAATATCTAAATACATTGATTTGACAGACACACACATCTTAAAACACTTTGACCATGTAGACTATGTAGTGCATGTTCCCATTAAAAAGTCAGACAACTAAGAACCAGTACAGAAAAAAAAAGAAAAGAACAAATGCGCTGTCATGAGGGTGCTGGGTGTCACTGATTGTGTGACACTGATGAGCACTGTAACACTTTCTGGAAATGGAGGGGTGTCGCGGTGTGGAGACTCTATAAGAGCGGCCATCGACTTCGTCATCATTGGAAAACAAGAATCTGGTGTTGGACCACTCTTCACGAAGCACTCATAGGAAGAAATCAACCAAAAAGCACTTCTTCCGATTCAAACAACACTAGATCTCCGATCATACACATACACACCCCAAAGATCCATCAAAGATATGAGCAAACCGATGACCGACTCAGAGGTGATCTCTGAAATGAAGAAACTCGTATGTCCTTCACTCACTCTCATCCTGCTGCTTTTTTTCTCGGTCCTAACAGATCAAATCTTCAGGTGGCCTTTATCAAACAAGAAGCCATGGAGAAAGCTCGCGAAATCAAAGTCAAAGCCGACGAAGAATTCTCGATCGAAAAGGTTCACTCTCTCTCTCTCTCTACTTCCCAGCTTTTCCAATCAACTCATCTTGGGCTTTTCGTTTTTCTTTCTTTTCTTGACAGGCGAAGATCGTTCGTCAAGAGACCACCAGCATCGATGCGCTCCATGCCAAGCGTCGCAAACAAGTAGAAGTCCAAAAACGAATGTCGGTTACTTTTTTTCTCGAGCTCTTTCTGAGGATCATAACAACCGATATTGTTGATGATTCTGATTCTGTCTATATGATTGATAGTACCCAATCTACGCTGAGCAATAAGGCCAGACTCCAACAGCTACAGATGCGAGACCAGCTCCTCCAGGATGTGTTTGAGGAGGCCAAGAAAGGCTTGTCTGACTTGACGACTGATCAAGACAAGTATCGAGGGATCCTCGAAAACCTTACTCTTCAGGTATCATCATCTCTACCCTCAAATTCTGCTCAATATCATCATCGTTAACAACAAATTCTGACTTCCTTTTTTCCCCTCCTCTATGCACAATACACATCATAGGCTTTGTTTTCTCTGATGGCTAAAGATATTGTGGTCTCTGTTCGACCGCAAGACCGCGAGCTTGCCGAACCCGCCATCTCGAACGCGATCCAAAGATTCAAAGAGGAGTCGAAGATCGATTGCACTCTGACGGTCAATGAAGACCTTTCTAAAGACTCGTCCGTCTCTCTCTCTTCTCTTTGTATCCTTCTCTCTTTGTCCTCATCTCATCCTGTCATCATCCTTGATTTTGTGTGGGTTGATGGATGCAGGAAAGGAGGCGTGGTGGTTTGGGGCTTCCGCTCGAGGATCAAGGTCGATAATACGCTCGACGAACGGCTCCGATTGTTGGAAGAAAAAGTCCAGTCCACTTTCTTTGATCCTTCTCCTTAAGATTCCTGACATTCCAGCCTTACTGATTTTTTTGTTTGTCTGTTCTTTTTTTTGGGGGGTATCGGTGGGTTAGATGTTGCCGGAGATCCGGACTACCTTGTATGGCAAAAACCCTAACCGGAAGCACGAAACATGAAGCTCAGTGTCTGCCAACTGAGTCTATACACTTTGGCCTTATAATTACCTCAACAAGTGTCCTCTTTTAATCACATTCAGACGTCTCTTCTCATGTTGCCATGTCACCTTTTTTTACAAACTTTGATGTTCTTTTTTTTGTACTTTATTATTTTAGTCTCAGCTATCTCCATCTTTTTACCGTTTGGTTTCTCTCTTTCTCTTTGTTTTTTTTTCTGGGTAATCTACCTAGAATTGTGAAATTGAAAAAAAAGACAACCAAAAAAAAAATAGAAACATGGCCTTTTTCTCATTGATAGAAAACAATTGTCGTTGTGATTCTCTTTTCTCTGTCTTTTGTGTATCATGAGAACACTTCCAAAAGGGCCTGTTTCAATCTCTGCAATGATGTAGTTCAACCGAACCACTTGACACAGACTCAGAAAATTATACTTATCATGGGTTGATTGCAATTTGTGATCCTAGATATATATTGTGTTTGCAAGAAACCTTGGATCGGTTCGCTTTTTGAATTTTTTGTAATCCTTCCATTTATGGATTTACCTTTCTGCTTTATTAATTTCAAATAAGTTTCTGCCTCAGGTGTCCCAGGGCTTTCAACTCTTTTCTCAGCTCATGCGACGGTCCAGTGCTTGGTCGGCATCACTGATGAGGCAGAAGGGAGTGACCGGCGGTCCCAGTGAGCGGCTAGGTGTTCCGGTTCCGAATATGAACCTCGTTTTTTCTTAATTCTCCTCCAAGAGCATCTACTGGAGCAACATGGCTCCGGAGGTGGTTTTATCCCTGGGTGTTATCTGACATCTGTCAAGATAAACCCCGACTGAGAAAATGAAAATATGGGATTACCAAAATCAAATTCAAAGCATTACAAAAAAATCAAAAAGGAAACCGATCCAAGGTTTCTTGCAAACACAATACATAAGCCACAATAAAGCTGGTTACATTCCAACAGCAGATGTATGTAATGGGGAAGACAACAAGAGTTTTTCCAAGATAGAAGAAAATGCAACCACAATTTCAAGTCTGATCAGCCCACCAGTGGGAGAGCCTTCTGGCAAGGACTTGGGACAAAAACACATGGATGAATACACCCTTGTCTTATCTCTGCACAGTCTTGGTGGTCTTGTGTCGTGCGAATTTCTCAGCTCTTCTCTCTCAAACAGGGGGAGGGCTTGAACTTCTCCAAAGTGGATGTTTCCCAGCCTTAAAAAAATGATTTGCCTTCCATCTTGTTGAGTGCGCTCCTAGGTTAAAAGCGCATGGACGGACGAGCGTCATATCCACCATGTGTGGCTGAGGAGGAAATGGTCGAGCTGGATGGTAAGGATCTCAAGTAGTCGGGGGCTTGATTGGACCCCATTAATCCTACAAGTTTGATTACAAAAAAAAGAAAATCGCAATCTGTGTTCAAGGGAGACGGATGGACAAGAATTACAAGAAGCTACCGCCGCCAAATCGGCCGCCCAATCCTTTAGCATCCTTGATCAGATCGGCCTTCTGGTTCTCGGACATCAGCTTGGAATGGACGCCCATCATCGCATCGTGGTCCCACACAACGGCTTGCTTCCGCTCGCTCTCTTTCTCGGCCTTGGTCTTCGAATTCGAGATGTTGACGGTGGCTGTCTTGTGCAGATCTAGCAAAGAGGCATTCCGGGACGATTTCTATAGTCCACCAACATAGTCGCATCAAAAAGATGGGGTTGTATGTAAGTCTGTATTCTTTGGGGGAACCACATAAAACAAAAAAGGGGTGAGAGTGGGAGTCACATTATGTTCTTCGACCTGTTGGCGCATCAACTTGTCCCGTTTCTTCCGCTTCGAAGCCTCCAAATCGTCGCCATCATCCTGGGTGGTTTCTTCTGCGCGGCGGCGTTTGCCGATGGCCTCGTCGGCCAGTCGTTGGCTCCGTTCGGCCGGGGTCTCGGTCCATAAGGAGCCCGCACTGGTCTGCCGGTCTGTCGAGCTCGAATGCGGCTTCGACGTTTGCTTGAATCCTCGCGCTTTTATCTTCGTCGGATCAATCGCTGTTCCCATTTTTTGTTGAAAAAAAAAACAAAAAAAAAGTGAAGATGTGTGGAAAGGAGCAGTCAATCCAATGCAAAAACAGCCCTGGGATAGGGTTTTCACCAGCGAAAGAGACTCGACTGACTGGCTTGAAGGTCTAGCTCCTTAGGCGGCAACAGCATCCACTCTTCACGTTTAAGTAATTTACTTTCCCGCTCGATCCGGTCCGATTCTTTCTGTCGTTCCTCGCGCTCCTTGAGGGCTACGACGCCCTCGTTTTGCAGTCCAACCGTCGATGCAAGATGGGCAGGCAACGGAGCTGGCCCAGCAACCCTCTCATCCTCCTCCTCCTCATCATCATCATCTTGATCATTGAGGCTGTCTGATATTACGAAACCGGGAGGGAGGGTGGGACCGATCGTTTTGGGAGGTTTGGTAGGCAGGAACTTAGGCGGCAGACTAGGCATGAACTCATCCTCCGAGTCTGAATCCGATCCGTCTGGACTTGGTTTCGCTTTCGACTCCGATGGAACGGATCCGTTCGATTTGGCCCGAAGATGCGGTGGCGAGGATGGGCCGGCAATCGGGGCAGTCATTGTTCGTCAGGACAAGGCTTCCTAGTGCAAGGGTTCTGTTACAGTCGGTCGGTTGGTGGGTAACAAGAGCTGTAAAATTTTTGTGTGCTCACAGGTTGTGGTGGTCGAGTGCTCGACGGGGGCAGGGGACTCCCCGCCCCCCCCCCCCGCCCCCACGTGACGGCCACGTCTCAAATTGTGGTAAATGCCCGGCCTGCATGGTTCTGCCATTTCTCAGCAACTTCTTCATGGTACATATTTGAGTGTAAACATTCCAAGTTGGCCATCCTTCAAAAGGCTTACTTCCTGACACTAGGATCACAATACTTTTTGAATCCTGTCCCTCAGGCTTAACCATGGCTTGGGTTGCAAAAGTGACATGCTGGGGTTGTCTGTCTACAAAAGCTTATTGGTTACTCCTGTCTCTTTGTAGATGTTTCCTGTAATGGGTCTAGGGGGAAGAGAAATTGGGTGATGAACTCATGATTCTGAAAAGCTGAGTTATAAGTGACATTGATCTTTGTTCCCCTCTACACTGAGAAAGTTGGTTCAATTGGCATACTTGATATTCCCCCTTCTGTCCGGAGGGGGGATCTGCTGGAAGCCTTGAGCTGACTGCACAATGACAAGACTACTGAGTGGGAGACTTTCTTCACTGAAAACCTTGACTTGACTTTCTTGCTTCAAAACCATATGTTTGGAAGTGAATGCAATACTGCTCCACTGCTCCAAAGAACAAGTTCAAGCTTTTAATACATGGTTCTATGAGCTGTTCAGATGTGCTTGGTAACTGATTCTTTAATTGAGAAGAAGATGTCAAGTAACAGTGTCATTCTTCCACAATCCTCGTGGATCATCCTTGAAGAATCTGTTTATTTTATTTGAGAATTTGTCATCTTCAAAAAGCAGAAGTTTTTTGGGGGGGGTGAATAGATTGGAGTTCCAAGCTTTGAAATTAGGAAATCAAGGTCAGATTTCTGCCTTATCTGATTTCCCTTTTGGCATTTCTCTGGAATTCTTGGCCAGCCCCTATGTCTTTCCTTAGATTTGAAATTGGAACTATTTGCATGAATTTTCTACACCATAACACAATACCTATCTGCAGATCACTCAATTGCAAGATTTAGAATTGATATCCAACCTCTCAATTTCACAATTATGAATTTTTTTATCTTTCAATGATGGTCTTTTGCCTTTGGGTGATTTCCTGGCCAATTTTCCTTAGAGATGGCCCTGTGCCATCCGGATATCCCCTCCTTTTTTCAGCAGAAGGGGGGATCCGCATCCACACCCGCTGGCGGGTATCTGTCGGCTGCAGCAGGTATCCACGGATACCTGCCCATTAAATCGGTGGCAAGGCAGCCGGCTGGAAGGATTTACTTCCAGACAGCAAGGTACATGTACCTTGTTGACCAGAAGGAAGTCCTTCCAGCCAGCAAGGTACATGTACCCGGTTGACTGGAAGGACTTCCTTCCAGCTGGCGAGGTAAGGAAACCCCTTCCAGCCGGCAAGGTAAATGTATCTCGCCGGCCGGAAAGAAATCCTTACCGCCAGCCATCTCCTCCTTCTGGCCTTGGGTATCCTTCGCACGGTACCCAGATATCCGCCGGGACTTTGCGAATAAGGGGCATCACATCGCTGCTACGCCGTATCTGCAGCAGATAACGGGTATCCGCAACGGATACCCAGAGACCATCTCTAATTTTCCTTCAAATAGCTTTTATATCTTGATTCTCATCTTTTAAATTGAAATGTTCACAATGATATACAGTTCCAAGTAGATTCTTACCAATAATCTTACTGAATGTGTAGATCAACAAAAATTCTATAATCTCTCAATAAGCTTCTATTGGATTTCAAATGAAGTGAGAAAAAAGGAAAAATTATTAATATTTCAAAACTAGAAATTTTCACACCATTGGCCATATTTTTCTCTATCTGAGTTGAAAATGAACAATCTATATGATGAATGAATGAGAAGGTAAAATTAAGTGGAGCTTCAAATTGGAATGGGTTGAGTTTATTGTAGGGGAATTTTAGAATAAAAAAGAAAACTGAATTCACATGTGCATCAGATATCCCATTTTTTACCATTGAATCTTATTTTCATTAAGGAAGTTTAGAGTGAAATAATTCATGTCAACTTCTCTATACAAACACTGCCCTGAAAAACTCTTAAATTTATGAAAGGTTATTCAATAGAACAAAGATATGATTTATAAACTATTGATGGAGTCAATTCAAAAATTCAAAACATGGAAGCATGAATGTACGGGCTGAAATAATTGAAACAACAAATTGCCTCAGTTTGTCAAATCACATCATAACATCTCATTTCAATGAAGTTCATTGTGAATATTTGTCAGATCTGTGGCTAAATCCCATGGCCAATCTTCATTTTGTGAGGTGAAATAATCCAAAAGTTTCTTCTTTTCCTCTCCTAGTTTGGATTCTTCAAATTGTTCCTTGCTCAATTTGTCTCCTGTGTTGAGGCCCCAAATTGGAAGACTGTTTGCCTTGGGTGAAAAGATTAGACTGTTCAGCCCATCAATGAGATCTTCAAAATGTGTTTTGTACTGAGGATTTTGAGCATCAATCTTTCCAAATTTTACCATTTGTAAAGCACACATTGCTTTTAGCAATTTCTTGTAGCGTAGGGAGACTAAACGCTGTGTGCCATCTGGATGTTCACTGTCTACAATTTTGATGACTTGGTCTAAATCATTTGGTGATAAAAACATTGAAATTTGATACTCTGGATGCTTCCATCTGCCCTTATTGTATTCTCTTACAGAATAATTGCTGCTTAAAATCTTCCGTGCAAATGCCCTGTGGTATTGATCTGTACATCTGTTGAGTTGGTCATCCTTCAAAATGCTTAATGCCTTCTGTTGAATCTGCCTTGAATTTAACAATCCCGCACCAGTTGATTCTGAAGACAAAGTACGACTATCTGAAAGGCTTGCTGATTGACCCAAGGTTGAAGCACTAGTATAAGGAGATCTGATGTTTGCCATATCACCATTTGTCAAGGCCAAAGCTGGCTTTGACTCAGTTGAACTAGGAATTCTTCTATATATACTGGCTTTCAATGTGGTCTGGAACTTGATTTTTAAACATGGCAACTCTTTCAAGCCATTTATCATAGTCAAACAAATCTTCTGAAAAATGCATAGCTGAAATAGTTGTTAATAAAATTATTGAAATATACAACAAAAGCCATAATTGCTGTCTAGTAAATTGAGAAATGTACATCTTCAAGGTGGGGATGTGATCACAAGTTGTACTTGGGTGGGTAGTTCTGAACACTCCTTATAACCTGGCAAGACCTGTTCATATTCATTCAGGTCAATTTTTCTTGAGTCATGTCTTATCCTGGGCCTCATGCATGTCTTGCATGATAAATGCTGTAGCCTGAATGTATCCCTGGTTTCCCTGGTTTTACCAAGTCACTAACACATCATCGGCTTGGTATTTTGAGCCAGTACCTCCACTACTCAGGGTCAAATTGTGACAGAGCATGGTGCATGGTCTGGGCAAGGCTCAAATTTCCTGAAACCTTATCCTTCAAACGGGCCTTAAATTCATTGTTGTAAAGTTTCAACAGCAATACCTCAGGAAACAATAAAAAAATGATGTCCCCTTAGACTCTTCCCCAAAAAAGCGGAAGGAGGAATTGATATTCTCATATCTATCTGAAGGGGAAGCATTGAGCTGATTGCACAATAACACTTTCAACTGAGAGGAAGAGAGACTCCGGGAAAAACAGTTTCACTCAGATGGGTTGGTTGCAAAACCGCTACATACATAATCTTCTTGGTCTTATCAAGACAAAGTTGTTTGTTGGTGAGAGCCATTTGTTTTTCTTTATTTTCTCTACCAATCAAAATGGTCCATTGAATGTCAAAGAGGGCTCCTTTTTTGGCGATAACAAATAGGATTCTGTTGCGGAGAGTTGGAACAAGCTGGGCCAGGCGTCAAACAGCCGGTGTAGGCTGGTGTGCTATGGATACCTTCAAACTGCTTGATGACTTTCTTGCTCCTCCACACCATAGCATTGACATGACTGATAAACTTCACAACCACTTTGATCAACACCGCTTCAGATCAATCAAGGGAGTGATGGCCTGGGATGAGAATGAATATCAGCACATGTGAGGGCTGGAACCCGCGGGTAATTTCGGCCTCGGGGGGCTTCTCCCGCAACCTTTCCCGCTGGTATAACCCGGTGTAGG